TCAATATTGAAGTGTTTCAAGTACGACTCGAGAGAATCTTTAAAGCGTTTCTTCTTACCACCTTGAGGTTGCTTTCCCTCCTTCATTTCGCCGTAGAGGATCTTCGTTAGTAGTCCTCTTTTGATATCTTGGTCACATTGGTCTGCCTACCTCAATTGTAATTTCATCATCATAATATGGATTCTTTGAATGCTTTTGGAATGGCTACCCGACAGAGAACCTCACTGGCTGGGACACTATACTACAGTCTTATCTTGATAAGTTTCCTCAGCAGCCAATGTAAAAATGTTTAGCTTCTCTCAACGTCGTCTGTACACCGTCCAAATTTCGCAAGCGTACAGCAGGGTCGGCATCCAGAAAGTAACCATGTAGACAATGAGTTTTGTTCGTAGACTAATTACCATGTGCTCATACACATTTGCAAGTAATATACCAAAGGCCAAAATTGCTTAGCAATTCTAGTGTTGGTTTCATCGTTGAAATGCAAATGATTCAAATCTGTAATCCAATACGACCAGCACAGAGGCTACCTTGACCCTCCCAATAATTGTTATCGCTACTCCTTCTGAATGTATGGTTTTGAAAAAATGTATAAAGATGTCCTCGTATTTCTTAAGTGAGAATGGGGACGATCTTATGTCCAATATGGTCGCTAATGCAACCATTGTGAAACTCTTGTTATCCATTAACTTTACAAAATATATAGTTTCAGCAACCGGTAGTTCAAAAAAAAAAAGAAAAAAAGAAAGAACTGAAGAAATGATCTTAATTTGATTTCCTGGAAATCCTGTTCTACCAACAGAGCGTCAGTCCCTATGAGGGACTTTTACTTTTTTAATTATTTTCACTCAGTCATTCAGTTTTTAACTAACTTGGAGCCCAAGCAATATGTTTGTAATGGTGGTTGCATTATGATATAGCAATTTTGGGAACATCGTGACTTGACTTTCAATCTTTGTAAGAAAACATTGTCTATCCCCATGTAAGTTTTTAAAACTCTTGGATGCAATATTTGATTATAAGGGTTTTTAAGAATCTATGGTCTTTAAGTAGCAGAAACAAGCATGAACAATGTCCTGTAAAATCAACAAATAATTTAATTGTAATTGTAAAATCAAATATTAAGAGGAACTTACAGTATAATGAATTAAATCACAAATAATTCTAAAAGATGTATCGCAAGTCTAAGAATATAGAGTGTTCCGGAAGAATTCCAAGAATCTTGAATGTGCTAAACAAGGTCAGGCTTTGAACCAATGTTCACGTGAACATCATGTTAAAAACCAGATACATAATATAATTTTCATGGGAACACTATGTTCCTGAACTCAAATCCAAGTGTAGATATTCAAAATAACCGGATTGTAGGCAGCTAGGTAAAGTCAGTAAAGTATTCAACATCAAAAAATGTTCGGAAAGCGACTTCGTTTTTCAATATTGTAATAAGTGAAACTTGCTTATATGAAATAGTGTAATAAATCAAATGAGTTTTTACTTTTGTTTCATACTGAACAGAACGAAATTAAGCATAGTAGAATAATGTGGCACTAGAATAAGTTTAGCCAAAAGGCTGTTTTCCAACAAAAGTTATTTGAAAAAGATTTTGGCATCATAAGATAAAATATATCCGGAATTCAGATAGGGAAATAAAATTTTCTTTTTATTATAAAATAAAAATCTTTGGTTTATTGTAATAAAATTTTATTATGTAATGAAATTATTGGGATAATTGTAATGACATTTTATTATGCTCCAGATTCGACATTGAGATTAGACTCACTCTTCGGCATATTGCTTACCCCAACCCCCTTTTCGTCATATCACATTATTTTCACAGCCTGATCATATAAATAAATATACCTAACTCAAGAAAGCAGTAGAATTTGGTTGACATAAGCTGACACAGTAAATTACATTTTTGTCAGTTAAAAGGCTATTTAAAGCCTATATGAAACCCATAGAAGTCCGATTCAGCGAATGCAACACCTGGTTTATGTCGTTGTGATCCAGGATGTAAGGGGAAATAACTCCAGCGAGAAGCGATCGGCGTCTGAACAAATTTCATTATCCAACATAAATTTTCTTGTCTGAAATATAAGGTAGTTCTTTATAGTTGTTCTAGCTCACAAGGTACTCATTTTTGCTGTTGGAGGTACAACTTCTGTAGGTCCATTCAAAGAAACGTCGCATGGCATGATGGGAAATCTTATATCTTAACATGTGTTAAAAGGCTCCATACACATACAGTAACTAATATTCTGGGACATAATTAAACATTAGGATTATTGCATTATTATAGGTACATATGACTTTTATTTAAGCTGAAACGCAAAATATAACGTTGCCACCATAGTACCTCCGAGTTAGATAACAGTGGAGAAAAAAAAAAACAACAAAATATTTTATAACAATCTGAAACTTGGATATGACAATTTCAGTCAGATATCGACATCTTGTAACTTTTGGAGCTGTGCAGTTTCTAAAAAAATCTTATCTAAAAGTCACATTCTACCAGCCCCAACTGACCCCCCATATATATATGCAGTACATTTCCCCCCCAAAAAATTATGTGTATTTATTTACTGATGATTTTTATTTTATTTTATTTTTAACTTTTACTTCCAAATCACAAAGTATAAAGATTGAGGTATATGTGCAATTACCTTTAGATCAATAAGCATTAATATTAAGGCTTATGTGCAATTACATTTAAACCATCGTAAAATTAAGTTGAGAAAAGTTTGAAACTTTTAGCAATCCCAAAAGATATGTCTCACAGGTTCATCGGAAAGATCAAAGCTTCCGTAATATCATGTTTTTTTTTTTAAATAAAGAAAATATTCATAGCAATAATTCTATATAATATGTCCGGAATTGCATCCCTCAAAATCTGAGATAATTTTGTAACTTTACGAGACCAGCCTATTTATTGAAAACTATCTAATTCCAAATTTCAACTTTTTTCCCGGCAGTTGGAATTTCATAATTTGTTAGATATTTGTATCATATGTGTTCCTACAAAATTTCGAAATGTTATACCACATTATATGCATGGGCTTATAAATGGTTTTCACAGAATATTATCAAATGTTATATTTAATTTTTTATTATAACATTTAGCAGTGATAGCATACCTTGAAATTTGTATCCATGTACCTTCTTCATTGACAAAGTCTTTCTTATTGCTGTCTTGAACCAACGTTTAAAGTTAAAGAACACTTTCACCTTGTATCACAATGTTTGCTCCTGTTATAAATGCCGTTGTTGCTGTTGTCTGTCTGTTGTATACTATCAAACAACAGCAGCAAGAACACGGTTGAGACCAATATGGAAATATACCAACATTGCTTTGTGTTCTAAAATATTGCTGATGCGTTTGATTGCCATATCCATCTTTCTGTATGCCTGTGAAACATGGATGCTCACATCAGATCTACAAAGAAGGATTCAAATGATATGATACCGTAAGATATTGAAAAGAAGCTCATACATTGACCATGTAACCAAGGAAGAAGTCCACAGCAGGATTCAACGAGCCATCGGATCCTATGAAAAGCTTTTGACCACTGTAAAAACGCAAACTGAAGTAGTACGGCCATGGCTTAAGATCATCCGGACTGGCAAAACAATTTTGCAAAGCACAGAACGAAGGTGCAGAAGAACAGGCAGACAGAAAAAGAGGTCGATAAACAACATTAAGGTGAAAGGACAGGCATGGCATTTGTAGATTCCCAAAGGGCAGTGGAGAAGAGGGAAAGATAGAGAGAATTGATTGCAAAGTCAACTGTGGTGCCGCAACTACCTCTTAATGTTAAGGGATTGACGACGACGACGGTGATGCTGCTGCTGATGATGATGATGAAAAAATGCCTAATATTTTCAATTGTAAATTTTCTTATTATGTTCTATAAAGGGTGCTAAATTCAATAGCGAATTAAGGATTTGATTTCTTATTTGTTAAAGATATAATTATTTATGTTCATTACTGGGATTTCGTTCTAAATGTTCACATTCTGAATTTGATTGCAACATTTTCTCAGACATGTCAGTTTTAGTGCACGGCTTAAGTTCACAAATATTAACTATTTGTAGTCCATCAAATTTGTAATCTTTTATTACAATATTTCAATAAATTTTGTCCCTTGATTCATAAATTTCTAAAGCCGCGCGTTCAGTTCATTGAAAACTTGTTCAGGTGAATTTCTTAATGGTACCATATAATTGTTAACTTTAGGTAGTTATTGACCTTTTATAAGTACTATTGTACCAGGCGGTACAAGTTATCATTTTGAACTCTGAAAAAGTAGATTTTAAAAAATTTGCCCTTGTTTTTATTGGGAATTTAAAAGTACAATTAAATATTAAAATTGCGTGCCACCAGAATTTTGTATACAATGAATAAGATATCAATATATCCCAATTTAAATTATAGTCTGGGGGGCACAATTTTTGTTTACTTCTTTTCCACCTTTCCAACAGTATTGCATAGGATTTTATTTTTCTCAACAATAATTCTTAATCCTGAAATTGTATACGTTTGTGTGAATAATTTGGATTTTTAACGTCGCTTTAAAAGTTTTCCAGTCAAATTGCTACATGTCCTCAGTGTGGCAGTTTAGAGTGATGTCTAACACAGGGGCATCATGCCGCATACTTGTAGCATGATGTCGCACTCTGTCATATTATCCTGACACCAAGAACACCAATCCTATCAGTAACCTCTTTATGCTGAGCGTCACGCTGGGCAGCTGCTATTGCTAGTAAAAGTTTTCAAAGTTTGTGACTCTGCCAGGGTTTGAACTCGCGACCTCCCGCAACCGAGGCTGACGCTCTAACCACTTAATCCTACGGAGCTTCCCAAACTATATGTCTAATTGGCAGATAAGATCCAGTGACAATATTTTGTCTTAACCATTAAGAACAAATGATGTTTCATCCGTGAATGTTAGATTCTTCAGATCAATAATCCTTGTACCTATATTTTCATTATATTTCAAACCGCTCCGGTGGTTTAGTGGTTAGAGCGTCCGCCTCGGATAGGAGAGGTCATGGGTTCGATCCCCGGTTGAGCCATACCAAAGACTTACAACACTGGTGCTAACAGCTGCCTCGCTTGGCGCTCAGCATTGGGAGGTTAGTGTTAGGACTGGTCGGCCTGGTGTCAGGATAATGTGACTGGATGGGACATCATGCTATTTGTCTGCGGTATGATATGATGCCCCTGTGCTAGAGATAACTAAACTGCCACACTGCAGACATCGTAGTGATATGACTGAAAAATTGTTAACGCTACGTTAAAAATCATAACCACATCACATCTTTATATTTCATAAAAGAACGTTCTAAATGAATAATTTTTTTTACCTATATTATCTTCATACTTTATAACAGTACGCGCTAAATCATTGATCTTTGTACTTATAATATTCTTATATTTCAAAACAGTACGAGCAAAAGCATTAATCTTCGTACGTATGTTATCTGTGTATGTCATAACAGTGTGCGCTAAATCATTAATCCTTTTATTTATGTTATCCTTATATTTCAAAACCGTTTGTATTAAGTTCTCTGGACACAAAAAGAATATTAGGGGAGGGGGCTGAGATCATGCCAGGATATATATATATATATATATATATATATATATATATATATATATATATATATATATATATATATATATATATATATATATATATATATATATATATTGCTTGTTGTTTATTTTTTTCCAATTAAGTAAACCACTTCCGATCTTTTGGAAATTGTTAGTAACTTTGACTCACAATAACGATGGCCATAATCCTTATCATTCTTTAGTATACGCGTAGGACGATACTGATCGTCTATCATTTGTTTTTGTGTACAAAATACCTAACCATAAATATAATGCACCAGAGAACTCGTAAAGCTAAGAGTCAATCAAACTGATTGATACAATATTACTTCCTAATAATTTTCTCTTGTTTCCCCTATTCTCTACTCCTGATATTTACGTTGTAAATATATTAATTTCAATATTTGTATATTACTGCAGTAATTTGTTATATTTGTCATATTAGTTTCGAGACATAAAATTGAATTTATGCATGTCTTTTTTGGGAGGGGATGGGGTATTAGAATAAAGCGTGTTAGCATGAAGAAAAGGACTGCAATCGCACAGGGTAAGAAACATACAGAAGATAAAGTTGATATAATTAATGTGTCGAAAACTTCACGTGGATTTATTATTTTTGTTTGGAATCATTGCTATGGCGTTTATACATGTACGGGATAAAAAGGGCAGCATATAAAAGATGTTGGTTTTATGTATGGTCGAAGGGCATAACTCCATACAAGCTGACGCATGATTCCGAAAGCTACTGATGGTTCAAGAAGCGTCTTATAAATTCTTAATTGTTTCGGTAAAATGATTTGAGACTAATTCATGAAGGTAGAAATTCCAGAGCAAAGTAAATAAGATCTTACGAAAATAACTATTACTTTGACCTTCAGTGGTCTAAAATAGTTTCTTCCGGACAGAGTAATATAATTCACTAGTATTATTATAGAAATGAATTATTTATAGTAGTAAAGATTGACATTGGTCATAAGTTTGCCTCAGGACTTCCTTCTACAAAGGACAAGATAAGTGAGGCAAGCTTATATATTAATATATCAGATGACAACAGTAGACTTGAGAAACTTTTTAATTAACGTTTTTTTTCTTTGGTAAGTTTTCTTTACAATACAATGATATGATTACGTCCAAAGAGCAGGAGCTTTCGCGGTCTTAGCTCTCCTGAGCCCCGATTATGGTTCCGTTCCTCAGATCGCTACCATACTTATTTCCATTGCCCCCCCCACGATATTTCACCCACAATTCTAGTGACTCATCTCTATTATGCACCATGCATAGAGAAAAGTCTACAAGTAACGCATATTTAAATTTGAAATCAATTTACTGATGAATATGTAAAATTATTGCTTTTTAAATTAAAATTACGAGAACACATTGTTTTCATCAGGAAACGTTAAATTTTGTAAGAAATTTAAAGAAGACGGTGTAAAACTCACGATACTAGCGTACAGCTAATAGATAATAATGCTTAGTAAAAACCTGTATTTTTTATTTTTTATTTTTTATTATCCCCGTAAAAGTTTGACCATTGTGTCGGGGAACCATCCCAAGGTCACCTTAGAATCCAATATTTCTTGATTCCAGATAAACTAGGGATAGTAAATATAATGCATATTAATAGAAAAAAAGACAGCACACACACACACACACACACACACACACACACACACACACACTCATGTATATGGCACACAATCTCTTTAGATAGCCTACTCAATGTAACTAGACAAATAAATGTAGGTGACACAGGATTTTGAAAATAGCGTTTTGTTCCTGTTTACCATCCAATCAGATAAAAATTACCTATTCATCTGTTAAGGTCCATTTTTTAAGAAATTGGTCCTCTTTTTTGTTTACCTTTGCAGCATATTTTTCAACGTTCTTATACATTACAACTATCTGGTTAAAAGCATAAATGGAAGGATTTTTCATATTGAATCTGCAAGTGTAAATGTAATATTTTGCTAAAATAAGTAAGAACTTACACAAACTGTCCAGTTGTTCACTTCCTAAACGTGTTTCTTTTTTGGACAAATGTACAATATTTGGGCAAGAAGGTGCAAAGTGTTCAATATAACTGTACCAGAACTGTGAAGTAATATTGCAATCATAGAAGAGATGTTCCATACTTTCATTCTCTCTCTTACAAAACGTACATTTGTTGTTGTCCAATATGTTAATTCTTTAAAAAAAAATCATTAGCAACGATTATTCTGTGGATTAATTTAAAGTTGAAAGAGATCAACTTGGTATCCTTGGTACAAAATTTGGCCCAGCTATAAATCTCAGACCACTACTCACTACTTATATATATATATATATATATATATATATATATATATATATATATATATATATATATATATATATATATATATATATATATATATATATATATATTTAATACTTGCATCCAAGATTCTTGCTTAGCATTATGTTGCCTTTTAACCCTTTTTTAATAGATCTTTGTAAACAACCTCGAGTGAATTATGTTTTTGCAGGTCCATTATTTTATCCTCCTACCAATCAAAATAATTATGTGCTAAATGTTTGTTTTTTTATGGCGTCTTTCCATGCTTTTGGAATTTTGGATATTAAGGAGAAATATTTCAAGAAGTCATCACTTCTAGGTTTTTGTTTCATTATTTCAAAAATTAATAAATTGCCATGATCGTCTACTTGATCATTCAAAATTTCAAAACCTGCTTCTATCTATCCAGGATTTGTATTGATAGAAGATTCGGGGGGGGGATACAATTATAAATACTCATGGATAAGAATTCATTTGCAGTTTGCGGTTCCTCTTTCCAATAAGATACTGCCAAAATGACATCTCTCCAAAAGCTGTTTTTAATGAGCTTACTAAATTCTTCTAATTTCCTAAGTTCCAAATATCCTTTTCATTTCTAAGTATAGCTGTATTGACTAAGTTCTGCCAAGCCCCATTTTCATTTTCCAACAATCTTTTTACCCATCTTAATATACCTAATAAATGAGAATATATTTATCATATTGGGTCCTCCCTCGTTCTCTGGGGCTACTAATATATCGCGTTTAATTCTCTCTACTTTTCCACCCCATATAAATTTAAATAATGTACAATTTAGTTCTGCTTCAACTTTCGCTGATGGATTTGGAAAAACTGAGAAAAGATGTATAAATATGTGCAGAACAAGGGTTTTTACAACAATTATCTTACCAACAACTGACAGATGTCTTTGACCCCAGCTTGCCAATATTCGTTTTGCCTTTGTTAGTTTCTTAATATAATTAATTTCTCCCATTTGTTGTAAATCTGGCGAAAAATCTATGCCAAAGAGTGTAAAGTTAGAGGAGGACCAAATTAGGCCCATATCGGGACATATTCTTTCATTAGAAAATTTCTTGTTTCCGATCCAAATGGCTTTTGTTTTTGTTATGTTATACTTAAGTCCAGATGTTAGAAAAAACCTTGCAATATATTTATAGCTGTTTTAAGAGAAAGCTGAGGTCCATCAAGAAGAATAAAAGCGTCGTCGGCATACTGACCAATTGACACCAAAGATCAATCCCCGTACATCCACATTTTGCTTTAAAATTATAGCTAAAATCTCAACCCCAATAATAAAAAAGTAAGGTGCAAGGGTCTCTCCTTGACGACATCCTCTCTCTAGTATATAAAAAGATTTAAAGCTTCTTCCACAAAGGTCCATTTAATTGAGTCAAAGGCTTTTTCAAAGTCTATTAGTAATAATAAACCATATCTATTTTCATTTTCAAGTTGATTCATGATATCATATAGTAGTCTGCTATTTTCTCCAATTAATCTACCCTTCATAAATCCTTTCTGGGTATCACTGATTACTGAGTGAAGAACCGTTTTGATCCTGGTTGCAATGGCTCCCGAAGCAATTTTATAGTCAATATTTAAAAGTGATATAGGTCTCCAATGTTTTAAAAATCTTCTATCTTTTCTTCCTTTGGTAGACATGTTATGATTCTTTGAGTCTGAAAATCTGAAAGTTTTCCTACAGCGTATCCGTAATTTATTGATCTGCAAAGGAATCTCCCAAGAGACTTCCAGATGAATTTATAGAACTCTACAATGAATCTATCTGAGCCAGGACTTTTTCCGTTTCCCATCCGTTTTAGAGACAAACCGCATTCATTAAATGTAAGCACACCCTCGCAACGAATCTCTTTCCTCTTGATCGAGTTTAATATTGTGATTAAAAAATTTATTTTGGTTAAATAGTCAATATTGAATTTCTTGAGTCTCATTGCCATCAAGCTGAACAATTCTATTTTTATACAATTCCATATAAAACTATTTTTGGGCTTTAAAAATATCTATTTGATCAGATATTTTTGTCACATCATATAAAATAATTTCCTTTATTGTCTTATTGACGTAATTTCTTTTTTCAAAATTTAAAAAGTACTTTGTGGGTTTCTTTTCTCCAAATTCATACCA